TTTCTGAGTATTGTCTGTTGAGGAGAATTTGTACCAGGGGCTCAACCACAGCAAAAAGAGGAATGCAGAAACATTTGTCCTGATAGGTTCAATCAAAGCAAAGAAAGAAAAGTCCTGGATCGGTTCAAAAGTGAGCATAGGCATGCTCTATCCCACACTCTTTGGGCTGGTGCACCTCTGTCTTTGCAATGCCCCTCATTCTACTGATTTGAGGTGCCCCAGCCTGCTCTTAGAAAGAACATTCTAGTGTCTCATGATTACCATTTTCTACATGTTCACCCAATATTCAATCATTCCATTTCTAATACTACCAGATCAACCAAATATATCCTTGGCACTTCATGGAACACATGTATGGAGATTGGACTAGGAAGGGCCAAGTCATCATCCTCTCAGGGGAAGTTCTAGCACAGGCAAGCACAGTGATTTTTGTATTCTCACCCTCAGATGACTGCTTATGAGATCAAGTCAGCCAGGAGGAAAGGGATTGAAGTTCTGAGTGGAGAAACCATGGTAATAACATCTCCAAAAGCAGGGCCAGCTTGTAGACTGGTGGTTAAGGTGGGTAGATCCCTCATGGTTGACAGCATGATTTAAGTCTCATATCTGGTGACTTGACAAACATGAGGGTATGTACACATGAATGGCCAAAAATTCCAAGAGGACAAATGGAGAAGGGATAGTGGTAGATGTTTTCTCACTTTCCTTATCTCTTTCTCTTTGCCTCTATATCTCTCTGCAGAGACAGCACACACACACACACACGCACACACACACACACACACATACATACACACCCCTACAAAAACATAAGCAAGAAAACCGGACAACTATAAGTCATCAGAGAACATTGCATGTAAAAATTAGCAAGACAATGGGAAGAGAGAAAAGATATCACAATGGAAGAAGGTCTGTCAGATTCTTTCCATGTGTTAAGGCGTGGAAGAGATTGACAGGATCCCCTTGCTCTGTCCACACTTGTCTGTATGGATTCCAACACCATGCTGGCCAGTGAGTGCCAGGGTGTCAACTGTGTGCCCAGAGACTAGAAACAGTATAATGTTCCCTCCTAAAACTGGTATCTGTGCTTAAAACTTGGTTGTAGACTTTGACTCAAACTGAGGTAGGTGTGAAGGCCCTGCCTGAGTAGAGATATCTCTCTTTAGAAACAGAGTATTGAGTATAAGCAGTAGAGACCATCTGCAAGACCAGTGGGAGAGTTAGTTTCTTTTTCATAAGAATACGCACTTGCAACATCCACAGTAGAGCTTGCCTCATGCACATTAGATGTGGAAACCTGTATATTGGGTGGCAGGTCACAGTTGGACAGTTGAAATTTGTTGGAAATAGTCCAATTTTGGTCATCTGGCATATTTTTCTGGGGGTGACTCATTTTCTTCTTTTCAGGTAGCAGATCAGTACTTAACACAGAGGTACAAGAAGAACAGAATATTGAGCATGGCGAACTGGATACCACAGTTTTTTGGTGAGTCCTATCTATTTATATAAGTGAAAGGTCAGAGAAGGCAGAAGGGTTGTTGTTTCAAAGAAGGGAAATAAAAACATTCACATTTCAGGACCAGCAGATGGAGTGGTTCTGTACTCCCATATGGCCAACTATGGTTAAAGTCCTGGATCTGGTGGCTTTCTCTCTCTCTCTCTCTCTCTCTCTCTCTTATGAGCCCTGTAGCAAACTAAAAAAGAAAATAATGAAAATATAAAATTAAATAAATAATTATTTTTTTAAAAGTCCACATTTGACTAGGACAGAGGGCAGCAGACATGGGTTGGGTAAAGAGAATGGAGCGAGATGTGGAGAATAGCAAGTATTCAGTGCAAGGTCCAGATTTCACACACATGAGGAAGGAGACCCTGGTAGCTCCATATGATGTAATCACAGCAAGAAATACACATGTAAGCTATCACAAAGCCATAGTTCCAAACACAGTACAATTTTGTTCCACTTTATTTCAAGGGGTCTAGCGAATAAAGGCTCCTGAGGGCATTGCTGACTCTCAGAGATCATGGGCCTTTTCAAATTTATTCTCTCCATATTTTGGTGTAACAGGAATTTTCAGTGTAGTTACATTTTCTATGAAACCTCTGTCAACAAACCAAGGAAAATTGGGTAGAAACTAATGCATCTCATTTGGCTCTGTTTTCTCGGGGGAGAACAGGTGGCCTTCTAAGGTGCAGGAAATCCAGCAATTAACTCTGAGTTTCTAAATTTGAGGAGTTAATGGAAATATTTTACTCTGTCCTCTTTAAAGTGAAGCAGACATTCTCACAAAGTCCTTCCTTCTTTTCATAGCCACCCACAAGTCAGTAGAGTAGAGGGTAAATAGGTTTTCAGTCAAGGGCATTGGCTGTCTTGCTAGTATTCCTGGTTCTCACGTGAGAACGAGGTTGTGTGACACAAGACCTTCTCTTACCTGAAAAATTCCTTCTTGTATTTCCTTGGACTTGGTGATCTTATGAATTTCTGGAAATTTCTCTCTCAGCAGCTTCAGTTTGACCTTTAGCTCTTCAACCTCTTTCATTAGCTCTTGAATCTGGGCTGCAGACCTTACTTGAATCTTCCCAAGACTTTTTGTTTCCTGAGTGTTGTCTGTTGAGGAGGACATGAGAGTATTTGTGATGGGGTACCAAACTCAACAAGAAGATGAGTGCAGGCACATTTGTCCTGACAGTCACAACTGAGGCAAAGAAAGGACAGCCTTGGATTATTGAGAAAAGTGAGCACTGGTATGCTGAACCATGCAGTCTGGGGAATTGTCTTTGCAATGCCCCTCATTCCACTGATTTCATATGGCTCAGCCTGCTATTAGAGAGAATTCTGAGGTCTCTTGTTCACCATTTTCTATATATGCACTCACCATTTGTTCAATCATCCTGTTGTGAGTGCTGCCAGAGGTCAACCAAAGATAACCTGGAGACATGGAATAAAAGGTTATGGAGACTGGGATGGGAAGAAACAAGTCATCTCTTCCAGAACTTATGACACAAGTAAGAACAGTGGATTTTGTGTTCTCACACCTAGATGACTGCTAATGAGGGCAAGTCAACTGAGAGAGGAGAGACTAGAGCTCAGAGCAGAGGAACACTGGTAATAACTCCAAAAGCAGGTACAGCACATTGCCTGGCATGTAAGATGGCTGAACCCCTTATGGTCAATGGCACTGTTTGGAAAGTAAAAAAACCTTACAGTATAAATTATAAAAAACATAACAAACAAAGCTATTAATAAAACATAATAAACAAAGTGGTCAGGCAATGGATCTTCAAACATGGTGTGTAAAGTTAGCAAGACCATGGAAGGCAAGAGATGTCACAACAGAAGAAGGTTGTCAGATTCTGTCCAAGTGCTGAGGCATGGAAATGATTTGTAGGATACTGTCATTCTGTTCATATTGCCTATACTGATTCCGACATCATGCATTTGCCAGTTAGTGCAAGGTGATGAAGTTGTGGCCAGAGATTAGGAACAGGGTGAAGTTACCTCATGCTATTGATATCTGTGCTTAAAACCTGGACATAGAGTCTGAGTTAAAGCTAAATGGACCTACAGGGCCTACTCTAGTAAAGACAGCTCTCTTTCTGGACAGAGGGCTGAGTGTAAATTATATGAAGGCTACCTGCAAAAACAACAGGAGCCTTACTATTTTTTCTTCTGAATGCTCACTTGCCCCATCCATAGTAGAATAAGCATAATGCACATCAGATAAGCATACGTGTTTGTTGGGAGGCAGGTCAGAGTCAAACAATTCAAATTTACCAGAAATAATTCAATGCTGTTCTTCCAGTGTGTTCTTCTGGAGATGACTCCCTTTCTTCTTCTCAGGCAACCACTTCTTCCTGAACACAGAGGCACAGAGGAAAGAATATTGAACACAGAACAGGACACCATAGACTTGCAAAGAGTTCTGAGTAGTTTTGTAAGTGAGAGGTCAAAGAAGGGGCTGACTTGTCAAAGAAGGGGGACCAAGCCATCCATATCTGACAAAGACAGAGGGTGGCTGCCATGGAGGGGAGGGATGTGGAGAGCAGCAAATGCTCAGTGCAACAGCTGGGTAACACTCAGGAGGAAGGAGACTCCAGTCTCCCCATCTGGGACAGTCACAACAGGCAACACATACGAAGCCATCACAAGGCTATTGTTTCCACCCCAGTGCCATTTTGTTCCACTTTACTGCCAGGGACCCGGTGAACAAAGGCTCCTGAGGCATTGCCTTCTCACAGAGAGCATGTGCCCTCTCCGTCTATGTGCTCAATGGTGTGAGCTAATAGAGACTGTGAGTGGAATCGAATTTTTGGCCATGTCTCCCAATGATCCCAGACAATTTGGCAGAATCTAATGCATCTTATTCAGGTCTGTTCTCTCTGGGGAGATCAGGTGGTGGCCTTGCAGGGTGCAGGAAATCCATGAAATTGAATCTGGGTTTCTGATCTTTAGAAATTAATAGAAGAGTTTCACTCTCCTTTGGAGTGAAAGAGAAGACATTCTCACTGGAATCTTTTCTTTTGTCCTTGGTCACCCATGAAACAGGGACAACAGAGGTGAAGCAGCTTTTCAAGAAAGGGTACTGGTTGTCTTCCCAACCTCCCTCCTTCTCATGTGAAAATGAGGCCACTTTCTCTAGTAAAGGATTGTCTCTTACCTGAAAAATTCCTTCATGTGGGCTATGCGTAGAGCCTTTGACTGCACAATCTGCGTCTGAAACTCTGGAAAATGTTCTTGAAGCTGCCTTGGCTTGAACTTTAGCTCTTCTCTCACTTCTGTCAGCCTTTGGGGTCAGGCTCCAGTGTTGACCTGAATCTCCCCACAGTATTCTTCGGTGTCCTGAATGTTATCTGTTGAGGAGAATACAATGGTATTGGTACCAGGGGCTTAAATCCAACAGGAAGATGAGTGCAGGCATATTTGCCCTGAGAAACACACTTGAGCCAAAAAAAAAAAAAAAAAA